AACTTATAACACAGTATGGGAATGTTTCTGGTTTTAAAGTTAATAATCATAAGACTAAGATATTATCTAAGAATATGTCAGTTAAAGACAGGGAAAGTTTGATTAAAGCCACAGGTTTTCAGATGGTAAAAAAGGTTAAATATTTGGGAGTATATCTAACTGCTTCAAATGGAAAATTGTATAAGAACAATTACGAACCACTATGGGCAAAAGTCCAAAAGGATTTAAGAGATTGGAAAAAATTGCAATTGTCATTGTTGGGGAGAATTTCAGCTATAAAAATGAATGTTCTACCAAAGTTTCTTTTTTTGTTTCAGATGATACCTATTCTTAAAAAAGAGGCAAATTTGGAGGAATGGCAAAAGGGTATCAATAATTTTATATGGGCCGGGAAGAAACCAAGGGTTAAATTTAAGATATTACAGGATGCTCGAGAAAGAGGGGGACTTAAGGCACCTAATTTGAAATTATATTATGATGCAGCCGCCTAACTTGGTTAAGTGATTGGCTTAATTTAACAAATATGGATATTCTTTTTTTGGAAGGTTGGGATTTAATATATGGTTGGCATGCATATTTAATTTTTAATAAGAAAGTTGATCGGACTTTTAAATCACATATTTTGAGGAATGCCTTACTTCGTGTTTGGAAGAAGTATTATTATAGATTAAATTATAAAATACCTATCTGGGGGATTCCCAGACATGCAATTGAGGGAACTTCTAAGGGGACAAATTTTGACAAAATCTCGTATAAAGAATTGTTAATTTGCTCTGGTTCGAATTGGCATTTGAAATCCTTAGATGTATTAAGGCAGCAAAATATTCTACAGTCATGGTTTCAATATTTACAAATAATGGATAGATGGACTGTAGATAAGAAAGAGGGGATAACACTAGAAGATAGACAATTGGTTATTCAGATTAAAAACCAAAGTCCGGCTCATATAAAAAGAATATACAATGTTTTATTAGAGTTAGATTCGGAAACAGAATTGGTTAAAGACTGTATGATTAAATGGGCTCAGAATATACAGGAGCCGATCTCATTGGATTTATGGGAGACAATTTGGATAAGAAATGTTAAATTTACACAAGCTCAAAATTTGAGAGAAAATTTTTATAAAATGTTTTATAGATGGCACTTAGATCCTAAAAAATTATCTTGTATGTATTCCAATATACAGCCCAAATGTTGGAGATGTGGCAACAATGATGCGACATACTTTCATATTTGGTGGAATTGTAAAAAAGTAAAGGCTTTTTGGATTATGATTTGGTGGAACATTCAAAAGATTTTTAGAAAAAAGATAAAGTTTACTCCTCAACTATTTTTACTTGGTATTTTTGTTGACTTAAATGAAAAAGAAACTACTTTGATGCTGAATTTAATAACTGCAGCAAGGTTATTAGTAGGTTTATATTGGAAGAAAGATTCTTTGCCTACTTTAGAAGAATGGATATTTAAAGTATCTAGTTTTGCAGAAATGGCGAAAATTTCTGCTTATTTAAAGGATCATACACAAGAAAGATATATTACTGTATGGGGAAGGTGGATAGATTATATTCAGAAAAAGTATGGAATTAAAAAGTTTCATTTATTTTATGAATGAATATTAAATATTATAGAGAATTGTTTTATAGGTTATGGAGTTAAAGGTTAATTATGATATTTTTTTCTTCTTCTTTTTTTTCTTTTTTTCTTTTTTCTTAATTATTATATATATATACATATTTATTAACCCTGTATTCTGCTCTGGGAAGTGAAGGGAGGGAGGTTGGGGGTGGGAGGGAGGGTAAGGGGGGGGTTCTCTACTTTAAAATTTTATTGTATTTTTATAAATGATTGTATGTTTTTAAAAAAATAAAAAATTTTCAATAAAAAAAATTGAAAAAGCATTTTAAAATTAGAAAACATTTAAAAAGACAAAAAAATTAAATAAGAATTTTATAAAAAATTGAAAAAAGAATTTTAGAGTTGAAAAAGTTTTAAAAATTGGAAAAATAATTAAAATTAAAAATATTTGAGAGTTGAAAACAAGAAGATTAAAAATCATTTTAATCATAGGCTGAGTATATATTAAGAGAAGCTGGATTGGAAGAAGATGAACATGATTTTAAAACTAGAGGGAAAAAACATCCATAATCTGTGCTATGCTGATGAGTATAACACTACTGTGTAGCCACAAATTGCAAAGGATCTGTGACCTATAATAGAAAAAGGAGCACAGTGAAGAAATGGGATTAAAATTAAATATAAGGAATACCAAACTAAAGACAACAGGTTGAACAACCAGCCTTAGAACTGATCATGAAGACATAAAAGTGATAGTTTTTTCCTGTTAGGATCTGTTATTAACAAGAAAGGAACTGTTAATAAAGAAATGTGCCACAGAATGTCAACTGGTGCTGCTGAAACTTTAATACTTGCAGAGAGCTAGCCTGGAAATAAAAACTTAGTTATAGCTTTTTTATTATAATTATTTGTACACTGCTTACTCAAGTGACTTAAATAATAATTAGTAGAAATGAGTTAATTTCTCCTGCACCATTACAAACAGAAGGCAGAGAAGTGTTACTCTCAGTGCTGTTGTTCCTGCAGTGTGTATGGCTACAGATCATAGCCATAAATCAATGGAGATCAGAAGACATCCAATAGAAAGCAGTTGGTGAAATAACTTAAGACAGATATAACCAATAAGGATATATTGATATTGCAGCATTATTGGACTGTAAAGGGGTCGTTTTGTTACCAATAAAAGGGTATTGTGCAGTCTGCCTTTCAAAAGCCAATAGAATAAAAGGGAGTAGCACAGCTAAGGAAAAGGGGGGGAAAATGGCGGACTGCGTTGTTTGGCGACTCCCGTGAAATGGTCATTTGACCCCAAACGGAGTCACGACCCACAGGTTGAGAACTACTGATTTAGAGGGACATGACCTTCAGTTAGGTTGGCATGCTTTTATATAGTATGAGAAATCTAAAGCACATAAGTACTTTCAAAATCATGCGATAAGAAATGTACTACTTTCAGAATGGGAAAAAATTAAACATAAAATATATATGAAAATACCTGAGTGGCTTTCAACAATGGAAGCAGTTGCTTATCCAAATCTGGTTAGTTATAAAGACATTTTGGACAAAGAGGGAAAACTTAAGGACAGGCAAACTTTACAACAACAAGGTATTGACTTGACATGGTGGTCCTATTTGCAAGTTCAAACAAGATACGAAAAAAATATAAAATCGACAGGTTTTTACAAAGAACAGACCCCATTAGATAAAATTTTGTTAAAAACAGATGAGAATTTGATTAGAAAACTATAAATTTCTTTTAAACTGGAAGATGGAAGAAGAACAAGTGAAAGAAACAATGATAGTATGGGTAAAGAACTTTGGACATTCTATCGATTTGGAAGAGTGGCAAAAACTTTGGGATAAAAATATTAAGCTTACCAAAGCGGTAGCATATAAAGAAAACTTATATAAGATGTTTTATAGATGGCATATGACACCAGTTCGCTTAGCGAAAATGTTTAAAAATGTTTCGGATATTTGCTGGAAATGTAAACAACAGTCAAGCACTTATTACCATGCCTGGTGGATATACCCTATCGCTAAGAAATATTGGTCTAAGATCCATAGATGGTTGGAAAAGATGATGAAAGTACAGATAGAATTTAAACTGGAATTGTTTTTGTTAGGAATATTAAGACCTAATTATGGTAAAGAGAATGACTATTTGATATTGCATGTTTTAACAGCTGCGAGGATAGTATTTGCCCAATTTTGGAAAAATGAGAATTTACCATCTGACCAGATTATAATTATTAAAATTTTAGAGTGTGCAGAAATGGATAGACCAACATTAGAGATGAAAGAAAAAAATGACTCAATTTATTTTATAACTTGGGAAAAAAATATCAGTGGTTAGAGACACGTTAGAACTTGAAGGATTCAATATTTTAGAACAGATGACTGATTTTTAACCGAGTTCTAATTAACATGTTGATGATATGATTATTTTTCGTGATTCACTGATTTTCATCTGTTACTCTTGATTGTTAGGATTTTTGAGATTTTATTAGTAGTGTTTCTTAATAGATCAACATATTTGTTTACTAATTGTTTTTAATATGTTATAGTCTAAGCTTATGGTAAAAATGGTTGAATATATTTACTCATTATTATGATCCGGACGGTAGCTTGTTTGTTGAAATATGTGACTGTACCCATCCTTATTTTACCCTAAATCCTTTATTCCCTTCCCCTTCCCCTTTCCCCCCACCCCTCCCATTATCATACCTGTATTGTTCCTATTTTTCCTCATCTATATAAATAAAATCTTGTTAAAAAAGAAAAAAGAAATGTGCCACAGACCAATATTTGATGGAGTAGCCATAAAGACCTTGGAAAAGGTATTTAGATGCCATGATATGTCTATACTTGTAAAGATCACTTTCATGCAAAAGGCTTCTCTATGACTTGGACTTTGAAGAAGCAAGATGGGAAGAACATTGATGCTTTTGAACCATGGTGTTGGAGAAGACTCCTGACGATACAATGGACAGCCAAGAAAACAACAAATATATAATCAAACAAATCAACCCAAAGTTCTCACTCAAGGCAAACATGACCAAATATGACTACATTATGCAAAGACCTAGCTCTCTACAGAAGACTCTAATGGAAGGAACCAAAATTTATGCTGTTGCTAGAAGTGGACGAGCTGATGGCACATAATCAACCAATACCCATCCACCAGGATTGCCCCCTCCCCGCTAAAGTTACAGTAGCCATGAAACTCTGTTTATGTGAAGCCAGTCTATCCCTAGAGACAAGAGCAACAACTAATATGGCTGTAAATTGACCTTTGGATTGCCAGGCAATAATTTAGGAGTTAGCGCCAAGCCCAGCGAACGAGGCATACGAAATGTCGGCAACAGGTGGTGAAGCCTTCCCCTCAAGAGGGGGTAGGTAGCGTGGTTCCAGCGCTTTCTTACCTTACCGTACAACACTTTATTTACTCCTGGCTGTTTCCTTCTTTATGTCCTCCAGATGGTAAGCAGCCTCAAAAACATGTTGAGCAAGCTAACCGGGGATCACCACAGCCTGTAGCCTCCGCCGTGCCGTTTCACTCCGCAAGGAAAGCTGGTTTGAAAGATTTTGCCCCCTTGTGGCCAGCTATTACTATACCCTTCTTACTTCCTCGTCAGATCCATTATGGAGCGCCTCGATCGGGCTACTTCCAGAGAAGGTTTTTATGGGACAATTACTCTGTGCGCTTCAGTTAAGCAATTGAACGGGAGGAGTGGAGAAACCCGATCTAAACTTCGTTGTTTTCATAGAGTTCCCTGTAGCACTGATCACAAAATGCACTGTGGTAGAGGACAGGAAGACCTGGAGGAACGTTGTCCATGGGTTGTGATGGGTCTGACACGACTTCTCAATTAACAACAACAAGCTCCTTCCAGCTTTCCATTCATACAGTCTGTGATAAGGAAAAATCCTAAAGAGCAGCAGTGGAAATCCACACTGCAAGTTTCAAATGGTAAATTTTTTCTACCCCCAATAGCACAGAGCATTGCACATTAAAAGTCTTCTCTGGAAATGTCCAATGCTTTCTCCATGTTTTCATACCAGAAAAAAATCTTTAAAAGCAGACTGCACAGTATCCTTTTATTGGTAACAAAACGACCCCTTTACAGTCCAATAATGCTGCAATATCAATATATCCTTATTGGTTATATCTGTCTTAAGTTATTTCACCAACTGCTTTCTATTGGATGTCTTCTGATCTCCTTCATTGATTTATGGCCATGATCTGTGGCCATACACACTGCAGGAACAACAGCACTGAGAGTAACACTTCTCTGCCTTCTGTTTGTAATGGTGCAGGAGAAATTAACTCATTTCTACTAATTATTATTTAAGTCACTTGAGTAAGCAGTGTTCAAATAATTATAATAAAAAAGCTATAACTAAGTTTTTATTTCCAAGCTAGCTCTCTGCAAGTATAAAGTTTCAGCAGCACCAGTTGACACAGAAAAATTAACTTCAGAACTTGCTTCTTCCTGTAATCACATGGGTCTTCCTTACAGTGTTACTGAAAAGACAAGCAACAGGGAAAGCAGCCCACAGTGCCTTTATTGTATGGAAAGCTAGAGAGTTTCATTGAAAAAAGTAATCTCTCTTTGGCTTGGTTTATGTATGGCTAGCAGGCATGTCAAATTGCCGGCCTGTGGGCCAGATGCGTCACGCCAAAACTGCGCCCACCCCATTGCCAGCAATGGGGAAAAAGTCACGATACGTTATGCGACATCATGTGACATCGTGAGTTTGACATGCCCGGGCTAGAGTATGCTAGTATAGGCTGAAAAAAGTGTGTCTATGTGAATAAGCTGCTGTTTTTTTTTTTATTATTAAAAGTTTTATAAGTTTTACAAAAAAAAGGGAAAAAAACAAAACAATACAAAGACAAAAAACATATACAAAAAAAAAACTAAACATTACACAACAAACCCTCCCTTCCCCAACCTCCCCAAAACACCCCCCCTTCTCCCCCCCCCCGAGCTTCCCAGAGCAGAATATAGGCTTAATTAAAAAACAATCAGAAAAATTATATTTTAAAATATATATGTATATATATAAAAATAAAAATTAAGAAAAAGCTATATAATATTTTTTAATATCCATTTTAAACTGTATAAATTTTATCCATTTATCCCAAACAGCAAGAAATTTCTCTTGCGTTTGTTGCTTTAAGAAAGCCGAAATCTTTGCCATTTCCGCCAAATGAGACACTTTAAGAAACCATTCCTGCAATGTAGGCAAAGATTCCTTCTTCCAATATTGTCCAACTAACAGCCTCGCGGCTGTAATCAAATTTAACATCAATATAACCTCCTTTGTATCACAATCAATAACTATACCCAACAAAAATAATTGCGGAGTAAATTTTACCCTCCTTTTAAAAATTCTCTGGATATTCCACCATATCTTAATCCAAAATGCTTTTATCTCTCTACACGACCACCAAATATGATAATAAGTAGCATCCATACACCCACATCTCCAACATTTGGGTTGTAAGTCAGGGTACATAAAAGACATTTTTTGTGGATCAAGGTGCCATCTATAAAACATTTTATAGAAATTCTCCCTTAAATTCTGTCCTTGTGTAAATTTGACATTTCTCACCCAAATAGTTTCCCAGGTGTCCAATGAAACTGGCTCACCAAAATTCTGCGCCCATCTAATCATACAATCTTTAATTAGTTCCGTTTCTGAGCCCAATTCAACTAGAACCCCATAAATTCTCTTAATGTGGGCTTGTCTTTGATCCTTCACTTGCTTAATAAAATTTTCATCTTCTCTAAGAATGCCCACCTTGCAATCCACCTTCCATCTATCTGCTAATTGCCTATATTGGAACCAAGAGTAAATAATATTTTCTTGTGCTAACTCTTCCCGTGATTTTAACTGCCAGTTTTGTCCATCCCACCTAAGTAAATGTCTATAAGACACCATGTCCATTTTAGCACCTCTTTTTATTCCTTCTATCGCATGCCAAGGTATAGCCCATAATGGTACTTTAAAATCACTTTTATAATATTTTCTCCAAGTCCTAAGTAAAGAAATTCTTAAAATATGAGATTTAAAAACCCAATCCATCTTTTTGTTAAATATTAAATAGGCATGCCAATAAGCTGCTGTTTTAACATGCTATGACACAGGTGTCAAACTCGCCATGTCACGTGACATATCGTGACATATCATGACTCTTTTTGCATTGCCAGCAATGGGGTAGGTGTGGCTTCGGTATGATGAAACTGGCCCATGGGCCGGCAGTTTGACACCCTTGTGCTATGTGAATCAGCCTATCATCTCAAATCATATAACTTGTTTCAGCATAGCAAGTTATGTGAATAGAGAAACTCTGCTTTGTTAATTTGAGATTAGTGTTATACCTGAACCCACATTGTGTGTCTAATTGTGGTCCCCACTCCAGCTGTATTATTTTCTCTCTTTTTTTAGAGGATCCTTCACAGAAAGTGAGGTATTAAGAAATAAACAGTATTTGCCATTTGTTCTCCTGCTTTATAATGAAAACCATTCTATGAGTATGGGACTCCTGAGCTTTGGGGAGTTGGCCTTTTCTTATATTTCTGAACAAGGGTAAGAGGTGAAGGTGGGAAGGGATAAGTGTCTTTCTCGGACTCAGCTTCTCTCAGCTTTGGTTTCTGCCTTCTGCTGTATGGGCTGACAGCATGGAAAGGCAGCCACCTGCAGTTCAAAGAGCTTCATTAGCCTCTCCAGACTCTGGCCAATGTTGGCACGCTCTAAGCAAACATGCTGAAGAGCTGCAACCACAGAGTTTGCTGTTCCTGGAGAGTCTTTAGTCTGGCCTCCATGATGGACAACTGCTGCTTAGTGTCTTTCTTCATGTTCTTGTCCAGTCTGTTTTCCATGCTGAACTCAAAAGATCCAAAGGAAGGCAGAGGATAAGACCTGGAGGTATACTTTTCAGCCTGAGTGAACAAGTAAGGCCCAGGGTAGCCAGCCTCTACTCTTGAACAAATTGGAGTAGCACTTGGCCAAGATACTCAGACTGGTGAAAAAAAATCTTGAGGAAAACATGAGAAGATGAAGCCTGCCTTTCTTGTTTGAGGCGAGGAGCATGTTGGTTTGAGAATTTCATTTTGGATAGTAGTAGAGCTCATATTTTTGGGTGTGAGAATTGTGGTGGCACTGGAAGCAGAACAAGAGAGGTCCTCTTCAGAGCAAGACATCAGCATTATCAGTGTGGCATTGTCAAAGCTAGTGTCTGATGTTTGTGTTGAAAATTGGAGTGCTATGCGTTGAGGTCTAGAGGCTGGAGCACTGTTGGCTGGAATGCAGCCTGGGTGTGGAGCTACATTTCCCCCCCTACTATTTCCAATATTTCATTTGATGCACTTTTTCTTAACTTTCCAGGAAACTACAATGGCAAGACACCAAAGGTTACTTCAATATGCAAAATCACTATTCAGCTAGCACAATGATTTTGGATAATCTTCATCTACTACCCCTAACAAGGAAGAGCAATTGTGATAATCTTTGAACTGCAAATCAGCAGATGTGCAAGAGATTATGCTCAGTGCTTACACTCACCACACTCCACATTTGCTGAATCAATACCAGAACAAAGTTTGTGTAATCATATGCACATGCAATTTAATTCAGCCAAGCGAGAGGGGATTGGTTGCATTCGCAAGTAAATTTGCTGGAACATGCAACACAAATAGCCTGGCTTATCATGATGACGCAATATGCTTCTGGAGCTAACCCATGTGTGAAAAATGTGCTACTGAGAGCCAATAGCAGAAGAGAGCTTCCTTCATTTAAAGAGGACAACCTGCTGCCTACAAGAAACAGTATTCTAAAATTTCTTTGTTTGAACATAAGAAGAACAAGAGTCTAAATACAGTAATCTTCATCCTCATTGAAAGAGACGAATGATGCTTTAGTGATGCAGTTGGCTGAGAAAGAGGGCTATGATTTTGCTTACCATTTTCCATGGCCTTCCAGGAATGTATCTCCATTTGAGGATAAGTCAAGCTCTCTGTCCACTACCTTTTTTTCCTTAATCTGTATAATTCTTCACAAAGATTAGGAGGGGTTTTCTTGTCACACAGCAAGGAGGGGTTTTCTTGTCACACAGCAAGTCACCTGATACTGTCTGTTAATACTAGAATTATTCTTTTCCTTTAAGAGTAGGCTCTGACAAGGCTTATACAAAGCTTTGCTTTAAGTACAAAGGTTCAAGGCTCCTATGGTACAACAGCTCCTGTGGTGTTTCGAAACAAAAGCAAAGAGTGCCTTTATCTTGCACAATGCTAGAAACTATCATTAACTAGCAGTAACATCAAAAGTAGCACCAACCATTAAAGTCATCAAACAATATCTCATGCTGGTCTCTAACACTACATATTCCTCAAATATATTTTAGAATGGATATGAAACATCCTATATTAGTTGTCTCAGCCTGGCACTTTTTAGGAATGAAACTTCCCAGTTCATCAACCAGAACAGACAGCACTTATAGGAAATCCTTGTCATCCTGGAGATTTGGTGCATAGGCCTTTCAATGGCAAAAAAAAAAAAAAAAGGATGTTCTTC